CCAGGGGGAAAGGAGAAATCATAAGTATTCATTAATTTCATACATACTTAGAAAGGGGTCAGGCTAGGATTTGATATGGAGGTGGCTGACGGACTTCTTGCTTCTGAAATGGGCTCGGTCATCACTCAGTGATGTATGTCTGGTGATTTTGGTTCCTAGGCAATACTTATTATGGGATGGGACCACCTGGCGGTCCACCTGGTCTCTCACCGTGCATGTGCAGGATTCCGGTTTTAATTGGTTGATCTGAAAGACAGCTGCAAGTGGAAAGATGAGGAGGAAGCAGACAACATTAACATCATTATTTTAGAAAATTTTTAACGGACGTACCTTGTTGTTTAAGGCCTTTTTTGTCCCTAGCTGGTCGCAAGATGAGTAAATTGTGTAGGAAGTGTGATGGCCTTGAGGGCCTTCTCAGGATCCTCCTTGCCGTCTTCCCTATACCTCCACTGGCTTTGCCCATCCTGGGGGCTCCTGACAAATGATCAGGGAGAAGCTCACAGCAAGAGTCAGGCTTCTAGTCCTTGACTCTTACAATGGGGAAGAGAAATGGTTTATTCTCGTGGGGTCAAACCAAGTGTTATGGATTTAATTGTGTCCCCCCAAAATGTGTGTCTACTTGGCTAGGCCATGATTCCCAATACTGTGGGGTTGTCCACCATTTTGTGATCTGATGTGATTATCCTGTGTGTTGTAAATCCTAACTCTATGATGTTATTGAGGCGGGACTCAATCTACAGGCTTAGATTGTATCTTGAGTCAGTCTCTTTTGAGATATAAAAGAGAGAATTGAGCAGGGAGAGAGGGACCTCATTACTACCAAGCAAGAAGAACCAGGAGTGGAGCATGTCCTTTGGACCCAGGGTCCCTGCGCTGAGAAGCTCCTAGACCAGGGGAAGACTGATGACAAGGACCTTCCCCTAGAGCCAATAGAGAGAAAAAGCCTTCCCCTGGAGCTGGTGCCCTGAATTTGGATTTCTAGCCTCCCAAACTGCGTGAGAATAAAATTCTGTTTGTTAAAGCTGTCCCCTTGTGGTATTTCTGTTACAGCAGCACTAGATAACTAAGACACCAAGGAACTGAACTGATTCTCCAACTCTAGGTCTAGCTCATGTTAATCAGACAGATCACACTTGTCTTAAGATTTTCCTGGCATATCGTGCAAGCCCCCTGAACCCAATAGGCAATGGCAACATGGACTACACACATCAGTTTATAACTTATCTTTGCTTATGTTGGCATTTGGGGCAAGTGTAAGCATTGGTTTTTATTTAATCAGCAGTTAACGCCAGCACAAAAAGAGTGAAACACAGCTGGGCTGAGGTTGTATGGTTAACAAGTTTGCTTACCTCTTTAAACTCTAGTTAAGGAGTGTTTCTCCTAAAGAAATAACGGCTAGTGAACTTGAGAGAAAGAGCATCCAGCTCTTCTTGACGCCCAAATCTTCTTATTTAGGTTATTTATTGCTTCGGGTTCTTTTCTTTGAAAAAGAGATTTTCTTCAGGAGCTTCGAAGACAGTAGAGGAAGGAGAGAGAGAGAGCAGAGATAGCTGAGAGAGAGTGTTACCTACCTTTTACTCACCTTCAGATTTTGCTTTTGTGAACTAGCTCAGCTGGGATTTTTCCATCCATTTGGTTCATGGGGATGGTCTATTTGAGAAGAATATCGAATATACCGTGGACTGCCAAAAGAACGGACAAATCAGTCTTAGAAAACAAATACCACCAGAATGTTCCTCAGAAGCAAGGATGGTGACACTTTGACTCACTTACTTTGGACACGTCATCAGGAAACACCGATCACTAGAAAAGGATATCCTGTTTGGTGACGTACAGGATCAGTAAAAACGAGGAAAACCCTCAATGAGATGAATTGACACAATAGCCACAATACTGGGCTCAAACATATCAAAGATGAGGAAGATGGTGCAGGACTGGGCAACGTTTCGTTCTTTTACCCAGAAGGTCACCACGAGT